TGGAGCCATTGACATAAATACAAGTATTCTTACAAGGACATTTTATAAGCAACAACATTGACTAAAGTTTACTTTGAAATCAAAGGAATTTTGATAAGATCCTCCTCCTATATCTATCTTGTTCCTTATGCAATACAAATAAAAACTCATCTCATAATCCATAAATTGTTCTTTGAAATTCTATCTCATTCTTCATTTTAAAAAAATCTCTTCTAAATCTTTGTAAACTTCAATCAATACTCTTCCTTTAGAAAATACTTGTATTAAATCAAAAAAATATAACACTTTAATTAATTAAAATTGAAGAAATAAATATATAAAAAATAAAGAATAAATATAATATTTTTTTGTAGAAAAAAGAATGTACTTATTAATAAAAAATAGAATAGATAATATAACAAAATTTTAAATATATCAAATAAAAAATATATTATAAATAATTACACATTATTTTAAAAAAAATTGTAACTAAATAAGTCCTCTTGCATTTTCTTTTGAGTTGCTAGTAGGTACTTCTCATCCTTGTCATAGTTTACTATCTTTTTGATGCTCTTCCTATGTTTAATTCTTTCTTTAAAAGATCCACATATTTAATTATTATAATATTAATATAACTATAAGGCTAGAAGCCACTATACATTAGGATATTATATAGTTTACTTATAGTATTTGTTTGTTTGGTTGTTTTTGTTTTATGACTTGTCCAACAATAGATTCAACACTTTGTTCTAAGAACTAAAAGAGTAGAGGAGGAGTCCATTGTATCAACTATCTACTAAATTAAAATAAAGCAAGTTTTGAGTTATGGTTAATATTTTTTTTGGTTAGAATAGTAGTTGAATGGATTTGGATTCTCTCAATTTGTAGAGTATTCTAGAATATGAGCCCTATGAGAATGAACATGCCTCACTAACATTAAGCATTATATTTTATTTACTTTTGGATAAAAAAATAGATACATTGTCTTCTTAAATCCAAGTGCCCTTTGAAGACTGATGAGCTTTTTGAAGACCTTATTATTTTTTCTTTATTTTGGTTGCTTATCCATTCATTCTTTTGTTATCCACCTACTTATTCATTTGTAGATAGTATCAAACTCTAAAGAGTCTATTTTGGTCATCCATTCCTTTGTTTATTCACTTGTTCATAGGTGTGAAGTTGTAGCTACAGAGTGAGGGATGAACTTTGTCTACATAGCTCCTTCATCTAATAAAGCTCCTTTGATCATGAGTTTTCTATGGAATTTTTTTATATTTGAGAGATTAATTTGATGAAAAAATGAAGACTGATTTTAATAAAAAGATATAATATTATATATTTGCATATATTTGATAACATTTTTTATATAAAAAAAATCTTGTTCAGTAAAAAAAAAATTAGAGAAGCACTATGAATATGATTATTATTATTATTATAATCAGAAATAATAATTTTTCAACATGCTTGGATTATTTTAAGAAAATAAAAAAGATTTTTTTTTTATAGAATGTAATTATTTTTAGTACTTCAAGTTTAAAAACAATAGCTTATAAAATATTACTAGTAAAAGTATTAAATATAGTTGGCATACTCTATAATATTTATTATAGTATTTAATAAATATTGTAGCTATAGTATTTGGAATATAGTGAAGAAAAATAATTTATTCAAAAATCAAAGGGCATGGAATTAGTGTGACAAAGTTATAACCATTTGAAGTTAAAGTGTCTTTTAAGGGTACATTGAAGATATGAGGAGTTGTACGGTTGCTTTTGGAATTTTTATGCAAGTATATATAAACAAGGATTTAAAGGTGCCACTAGGATTTTGGCAATATCTTAAGATCTGTAACAAATTTATGATTGAAATTTGTTGTGGTAGTTGTTTAAAGTATATCAATACTTCAAGTAAATTTTGAGGCTATTTGGACGTTCTGATTAAGAGATTTGAGGCATTGCAATTTCAAAAAAATTTACCTTAAAGATATATAAGGGTTTAAAATATTTTTATCATAATTTGGATGTTGTTTGGTACTTAGGGCTTGTGTATTGATATAATTGCCCTTAAAGGGACAATATTATATATAATCTTAGTACTTTTATATCTTGAGACTTGATTGAGTAATTAGTGGCAACCAAAAGCCTAGTTCTTTATTGAGACCATTATAAAGACACCTTCAAGATTGGTTCAAATATATATATGCTATATTAAAGAGCCACCAATTCTATGGCTCATATACAAAGTACTATGAACTAGATTTTGAAAGAATTTGTGTTTGAAAAAACCATCCCCTTTGTAGATGATATTCCAATTAAGAGATGCAAAGAAGAAGTCAAGAATAAAGCAAAGGATAATATTGGATGTAGGAATTTAATTAGGCATCATATTGGAGATATAAAAATGATCCTATAAAGGTTTGAAGATATAAATATAACCTTCTCGATTAAAAAATCAAAATTTGGAGTTAAAAGAGTTGTTGTAATGGAGCATTTGTATGAAAACTATAAAATAAAATAAATGTTATTATAAGAATGAAGCCTTGCAAGAGCATTATTAAGGTTTGGAGGTTTTTAGCAACTTGTGTTTTCTATCAAATCTTAATTCTTCATATTATTCATATTTCAAAAAAATTATATAAATTTCTGAGAAAAAAAATATATATATATATATAATTGAAAAAAAGAGCAAGTAGAGGCTATGAATGATTTAAAGAAAATATTAGGCTTATAATCCATTTTAAAGTAGGTTAATTATGAAGAGAATCAACCTATGATAATTATAATTGATACAAGTCTAATTGCCATTAATTGGACTATTAAGCAAGAAGATAGTAATAATATCAGATATGCTATTCAATTTGGAGTTGAAATTCTAATTGATACATGAAGAGCCTATCTACAAATGATAAAGAAACTTTGGAGAGTAATTACAACTATAAAAAATATATATATATATATATATATATCTTGTAGAGATACATGTGATTTTTAAGAAAAATAATTTATTTTTAATGGAAATTATTTCAAATTGTACAATCTTTAATATTATTATGTTGAAGTGGGTGGCTTATATTAAATCTTTGAATCCAATTCTAAAATACATAAAGAATAAAAAAGAATATAGTTATACATATGTTGTCTAAGGCTAGATTTAAAGATGAAGGAAATATAGTATCATGTGAAGATAGTGAAAATAAAAGTGAAAAAGGTTGTGTTTACTTGCATACCTATGCTATTGGAATAAAAGATGAAGATACACAGCCTTTTTAAAGGAATTTATATGAGGGCAAAATGAAGAATATTGGGCTTTATTTTAGTACCTTGAAAAAGAAATAAAGTGGGATTGACAAGGATTTTAAAGAAGTTGACACAAATCTTATAGTTGTCTTCTAAGGAATGGTATTTTGTGGAAGAAATGATAAAAAATAAAAATTAAATAAAAATGATGGATTTTTCCTAAAAGTAGTGGAGAACTCTTTCACTATGATTCAAGTTCTCAAAGAAATCCATGATATGAATTGGTTGAAATACAAGGAAATTTAAGCAATTTATATCAAGATCAAGAAAAAATATTGGTGGAAGGGATTCTAGAAGGATGTGAAGGACTTCATATGACCATGCCAAGAATATTAGTTCTAATCAAAAATAAGTTATCATGATGAACTTTATCCAACTTATCTAATTTCTTTATATTTTAAATGGTTGATAGACTTTGTTGCAATGCCACTTAGAATATTAGACATGAAGTACTTAGTTTTGTTTTGAAAAGAATTCTCAAACTATATAGGAGGTAGGACTTTAAAAACCAAGGAAACTGAAAGGATTTATAGGTTAAATCAAGAAGATATCTTTAGTAGGTAAAGATGCGGAAGGATGAGGGCTAACAAAAGAAAATTAGATGCTGTTGAGGCTAAAAGTTTCTTTGATAGATATCGGATGAAATTAAAATGAACTATGACATATAATCTAAAAGCCAATAGAAAGATTGAATGAGGACATTCTTTAATTGTCCATGCTTTAGATAAATCTTGCAAAGAAAATTCTATGAACTAATCTAAATTATTATCCTTTCTTTTCTAGGTGGATAGAACAACTCATAGTATTATAACTAAATATATCTCAATAGAATTAATAATGGGACAAAAATCCCTCATGCAAATTCAAAGATCCATTTCTTCATAGATGTATCTACTATTGGAAGATCACATTTCCAAGGAAATTTTTTTAAAGCTTCACATTCATTAGATGAATAGAATGTTTGAAAATCATCTTTCAATGACAAAAAGGCTAAAGAAAGGAAGATTGACTAATAAAGATTGATTTGATGGAACACATCATTTGATATTGAATTCAATTGAAGGAAACTAAGTGATGATATTTGATAATTCATTAGAACATCAACATAGTGCTCAAAGGAACTTTATGTAATAGTACTTTCGTCCTTATGTGGTGATTGAGGTGCATAATAAGACAACCTATTCATTACAAGAATTAAAAGGGAATGTGATATAAACACCAGTTGTAGAAACAAAGAGAAAACTATTTAAGAAAATTGCACTTTTTCAATAGAGGATATGGAATAGCACTGATTTGATCCAAAATGGAAGTTAGTACATGGAGGTGATGTTTTAGAGCTAATGATGATTAAGAATCAGAAATAGAAAAAGAATGAGTTTTGACATAAACCAAAGAATGTGCAAATTTGCAGGGAATGGATATCATGATGTAAATATTAATAGAATGTACAAAAAGTTCAAGTTATATATCATTAGTTTTCTTAAAATAATAAAAATAAAAAAAGGGCTTTATAAATTTTACTAACATTTTAGCTTTTCAAAGAGTTTCAGTTTCTTTCGAAATATTTTTTTATTATTATTGCATGTCATATTTCCTTGCCATTATGTTTATAAGGACTTTCTGGTATTTCTTGTATTTTTCTCATAATTTTTCTTAACTTTTGAAGGTTATTTTGGGGTTTTTACAAACTTTCAATTTGTAATTAAAAAAGGAGGGGAGGGGGGGTAATAAAGGTGTAATTGAACTTTTAAGTTCCGATTTAAAATGTTTTGAAAGGTTTCCGTAAAGGAATCTTGTGAAATTTGGCGGCCGCCATTAAGGCGGCAGCCAATTTGACAGCTTGGAGAGAGGAGAAGCGGACACAAAGAAGACAAGGAGAGGCGGCCCTGGGAGCAGTTGAAAAACTGAGAGGGAGGGAGCGAGGGGAGCGAAAGTTTTTGGAGGGCAGGCAACGATAAGTCTCCCTCGTCAGAGTCGCTTGAAAAGGTGGTTACACTATACTGAACAAAGCTGCGTACGAGGATATCTTACGTCATCAAACGCTTTCCCCACCCGAACTCTCATCATATCTTGCAAAAGGTCCTCCAATCTCCCGCGCTCTTCCCTCTGCGACTCCTTATTGTTGCTGCGCTTCGCAAAGCCGAAATCAACAAGGCGGACAGAAGGCTGTGTACCCCGCACAACCATAATGTTCCGCGCCTCAACATCCCCATGAAGTAACTTACACTTGTGGACAGCATCAAGCCCCTTACGTGCCGCATTGGCCACCTCCTCGGTCACTGTTCCTGAGAACCAAAGGCAATACATTGAAACGTAGATAAGTGCCTACTCTGCCTGTTGATTGTAGAGCGCCACAGATACTGTTCCGGCACCATGATTAAGCTGCAAGAAGCCCTCGGGAAAGGAGGAAGACGACCACACTCCCCATTCGCTGGTTTCAAGAGCTTATTACTTACCAGGTCCGAGTGGACTGCCATCGATCAACTCTGTCGCTATGAAAACAATTTGGCCATTGGCTGTGGTTCCAAATCCTACTAATGGGGGCACGAATTCCCCCCAATACTTCTGCAGCTTTAGGTAGGCGTCCACCTCGTTCAGCAGAGCCTGTACAAAGCACGGCCAGAAGACGGTATGTACACAACCAGATCAGAAGCCGGTAAGGTGTCGCAAACTGCATTCATTTCAACACAAAAATGCCCTCGTGTTCCGTCTAGCAAAGACTGCCTGCTACAAAAGCAATCGCTGGCAGGACCACTCCAGGTCAGCCCCGATTTAGACCGGGCCATAGTGAACGTTTAGACGGGCGCGCAACAATTCCACATCACAACTCCAGCTCACCTCCGCACGTTCCGAATTGCGGGGAGCCAACTTCACTGCAACACGACGACCATTCAAAGTGCCGCCAACCACGGAGCCGCTCCATCCCCCGCTGCTGATGGGGCGGTCGTCCAGATGCAGGTCCGGCGCAGGAATCTCCTGCAATTGGTTCTGTGTCGCGTTTGAGGATCCCCTTCGAGTCCTGTACATGCACTTGCCATCATTCCACCGTTTGTTCTCTTCTATGTATCCATGACAAAGAACATGTCAATGTTTGGGTAGCTGGCTAGACAGGTTACCTAGCTGGAGACGTTCTGTAACCACCAATTTCGCGCTCGTTTGGTTTGTAGGTCCTACCCTCGTCTTCATCATCTTTAGAGCCGCTACTGGGATTGGCACAAGGGGAAACCTCCCAGCTCCAGGGACGCTCACCCTTCCTGGGTAAAACATCAAACTCACCGTGGGCTTCAACAGCAGAATTGACCAAATAAGCAATTGCAGCAGGTACAGGCGGTTTCCGGCCATCCAACTTGAAACCTGTTGAAATATAGAGGCAGCCACCATGATCCCTTTTGCAGAGATACCAGTTCTGGATATCGGTGAGAACGCCATACCCAACCTTCGCCCTGCAACTCGAGGGAAAAGAACGTAGAATGAGGACCACCTCACACTACTCATCAGCTTCTCATCTGAAGACCATTTCGATTTTAAGACACATCCCCGTGGGTACCAGGATTTGAAATTGCTGAGCACTTGGAACTCCAGAAACATCTGCTTCCTAAATATCTTGCGAGTAAACCTCACAACTTCAGTACTAAAAAGAAGAAAATCCGCCGGAAGCCAACGGTGAGGGGGAAAACGGGGTGCCTGTCGGGGCCTTTTTGATTCCTGAACGTAAACCAAGGGATGCGCGAAAAATTACACAAAAAGCATGATGGAACAACAAAGGAGTGTAGACAAAAGCAAAGACTAGCTGAACCTGCCTGAAGAATAAAACCAGGTTAGAGCACCAAATAGCTGCCCAGGAAAAACGAAGTATTGCTCAACAGGACTGCCCTTTTGCTGGAATATTTTGACAAAAGGCAGAAGCAGACCTCGCGACACTGAGCCCTGAGCTGAGCTAGCCCCACCCGATTCATCCCGAGGTAGGTTAATGAACTGCTTACAAAACCAGGTATTCGTAAACCTGGAGACTGCAGTTGAGAATACTCCTGGCATGTCCTTCCGAGATGTTAGTATGGCACCAGCAGTTGGGGTCGATTCCTGAGGAAATTCAGCCTCCATATCAGCAGGCTTGACAACTGAGCATCCTTAACAAATCGTGAAGACGGGAATCAACCAAAAATCAAATGAGATCTGCCGTACCGAACCTGTCTGACATGAGCATCTTGTCCACAGTTTGTGGATCGGCACGGGACATCCCAGACCTCCTTTCTTAAGCTCAAGAACAGCAACGGCCTCATCGTTGGATTGAATTAACACATCCACACGAGGAGGTCTGGCATAAAAGAAACTCTTTTGAACGTCTCTGCCCGCGGCCTTTGATCCGTCTGTGTTCGTCGACTCTCCTCCCTCTGCTGAGGGTTCTGGTGGCACTTCAAGGTTCACTTCCCCGTCGTATGTTACCGAGGAATCTGGTCGCTTCTTACTAACGAATTCGCAGGTGCTGTTCACGACAAAATAAGCGATGGCTACCACACTTTTCTTTCCTGCAGTGAATACAGAGTCATCCACTTTCCGATATATACGCTTCAACTTATCCACCTTGTTCAGATAGTCTTCGATGTCTTTCACCACATCCCAATACTCCACTCTCACAGGCGTGTACATCCGCTCCTTCTGCGTGGCGCTTGGAGGCTTGGAGTTCCCTGAGACCCACGACGGCAAGTCCTGACGTAGCCAATCAAACTCTGTGCATTTATCTGCACATGCAATCCAGTAATTCAAATAAAAAACCAATGGTTAAACTAAACATCCAGTGGCCTCGCACTTGCAAGAGTAGCGCTTCTGCCGCTTCTCAAGATAAACTGCACCCTTCAAAACGTACGATGAGAGATAATAGAGGTTTCTAAGTTTGGAAAAATCGGACACCTAAAATTAGTCAGCACCAAAGTTGCCAAAGAATGGAACAAAGATGTCAGGAAACACTACCTGCTATTCAAAACCCGACACCCCAAGTGATGATAATCCGTACACAAGGCAGGGCAAACTGAAGCAAACTAAGTGCCAAGAATAGAGTACTATCTGACACCCTGATGGATAAACGCAGGGGAGAAACTTATACCAGACCTGCTTATTCTGCCTTCAACCCTCATCAGTCCACCACAAAAGCATGTTCTCACAAGCGTAGGTAAGCATACTACCCTAAGCAACAAGTAGGCATACAAGAGCACACAAGAATCATCTGACAGATCCAGGATCCAGATTCTTTCTAAGAATACACACCTGACGATGCCGCCGCTGCTTGCACAGACTGAAGGCTGCTAATCTGTTGCCCTAGATTGACTATCTGTTGATCGCGGCTGCTAATCTGTTGCCCTAGATTGACTATCTGTTGATCGCGGCTGCTAATCTGTTGCCCCAGGCGGCTAACCTGTGACTTTAGGCTGACTATCTGTTGGCGTTGGAATTGCAGCTTCGCTTCAAGAGGCTTTGTCGCTTGATCTCCCGAAGCAGTAGCAATCTCCGATTCCACCGCTCTGATCTCCGCTCTGAGCTTACTTATCTCCGCTTTGAGCTCTCTTATCTCCGCTCTGAGCTCTCTTATCTCCTCTTCCTTTGCTCTGAACTTCTCTTCCTTCGCTCTTATCTCCTGTTCCGTCGCTCGAATCTGGTCTTGCACCGCATCTTCTAGATCCTCCCCCTCACTCCTTCGCCGATGACCTTGGTCCGTCTGAAGCAGGAAGACCCGACAGTATGTGCTGCTCAATACCTCAGCAAAAATATTGCTGAAAACCCAAGCTGAAACCACAACGGAACCCCGATCCGAAACCCACATTAGAATCTAAATTGTGCAGACCTAATGAAGCCCAGACGTTTCAAGAACTCACCTCATCAGGAGCCATCGCCTCCATAACTTGAAATCGCTGAGGGCGTGCTAACTCCTGCAAAAAAAATGCCGGAAAAGAACGGAGGGAGCGCAACCCCCTGGGGAGGGGAAGGGAGAGGGAAGCAACCGAAACGGAGAAATGAGAAAAAGGATGTGGCACCGAAAGGAGGGCAGGAAGAGGGGTGGAAGCAGGCAGACGAGAGGAAGAGGGCAGAGAGAAGGCCGCAATGAGGAGGATGGAGAACGCAGAGAGACACGGCCCCGCACAGCAGAGACAGGCAAATCATGGAACCCTGGTTCTGCACACAACCCCGGGCCCTGAACACTAACTCGGCCGCATTTGTGGCAGCAAAGTTTATATTTCAAACAGCAATTGAAGATTTATTAATAAAGTTAACATTCAATTATTTTAATTGATATATCTTCTATTCTACAACATATTCAAATGTGTATTAAATTGCATCAAAATTTGGTATTAATCATTTAATAAACAAACAACATATCCAATATTGGTCTATATTATATAAATATAATATGTATTCTTATATAATATAATTAATATAAAAATTGGATAAAATATATATAGTATTTTATATCCAAAATATGAATGAATATTGCAATATATTGTTCTATTCAAATTTGTATACTATTATTTTTATCACATATAAAATATAATTAAAATATTTTCAAAAATAATTAATTATATATATAAAGATACAAAGGTATTTCTATAAAAACAAAATTGATTATCAATTTTTTTTTCATATTTAATATTTTATTTATTGCAAGTATTGATTATGATCACAATTGTGATAAAATATAAATTTGTTATCTTCATGTTCTAAAGTTTTTATAAAACACACATCACACATTATCTTGTGATAAAATATAAATTTGTTATCTTCATGTACTAAAGTTTTTATAAAACACACATCACACATTATCTTTAAAATTTTGAAAAAAATCACCTTTTTATTTTAAAGTGGAGACTAATACATGAATTGGACAATTACATGGCAGCTTTGTAATACCTTTGATCTAACTCTACTATATCATGTTTTTTATGATCTGTTTTTGTACATTATACATTTGCTTGGATAGATGCTATAGAGCCTTTAAAAAAAGTTGAAAATAATAAATTTCCTCAAATCTATACAATTTTTAAAGAAACATGATATATATCTTTAGAATATTCAATTTAACCTTTATTTCTTTCATTCTAAGTACATAAATATTCTTTTCAATATTCATAGGAAGGACATCTTCATCACATATAATTTAAAGCATTTGCTTTTGAAATCCATTGATTTGTATTTAAACATTATTTTTTTTAATATTAGCAATATTGTCCAATCCTTTATAATATTTGTGATAAAACTAACATGTTTTGAAATTAAAAAAGTAATCATAAAAATATAAAATTATTTTTAATAATTAAATTTATATCAAAACATTCAATATTCAAGCCAACTAATTCAAACCACACCAAAATTATCATTTAATTAAACTACTAAAAAAAATATTGAAATTTAGAAGCAATTGTTCTTCTAGAATTTCATCTCAGTAGCAACAAATATATGATATGCAAGGGAAAGGACAAAGACAAGATGATAATGAAGTGTAGAAGTCAATATAACCATATCTAGGTGACGAGGGAGAAAGACAAGTACAATATCGTACTATAATTGCTTATAGTATGTAAAAATTAATTTAAACATATAATATGTTTATAAGTCTTAATGTGGATTGGAGTGGTTAATATGTTAATTTAAAGAGAATTGATATAAAAAAAATTATTTGGAAGTTTATTTATTTTGATTATAATGTTTAAATTATATAGGATTTAGAGGTTTAATATAAAGCTTAAGAGAAGGTTGGAGTCTAAATATGAAAGTCTAAACTATTATGAAGCTTATTGAGAGAAATAAAAGCAAGGTATGGTTGAATGAAGGCAAGGGGTGAAGGTCTTCATCCCTATTGGTCAAGTGTTATGCCCAGTGGGCTTTTAGTAGATTGCCTGCAACCACAAGAAGATGTTTTGGTGATTTTAAAATGATCATTTGAGAATCAAGGGCAAAGGTTGTAAGGTTTAGGATTTGGACTTCAATTTGTGTATAAAAATTAGAGGGTTTAGAATTAGAATGAAGAAGTTATAGCCACATGAAGTTAAAGTGTCTTTTAAAGATATATTGAGGATACAAGGAATTGTACAGTTGCTTTTGAAAATTGGGAGATCCAACTGCAAGAGTGATTTCAAGACCTACATCTTTTATAAAAGAATTGTTGTATTTGGAGTTTATATGAAAGAATTATGGAAAGTTGAAGAGAACACATGTAATTCAAAGGCAGTAAGTAAACTATTTTCTTGATAGTAATGGTTGGAGCTATATTTTGAGTTTTTGGATGAATTTTTGGCTCAAAAGTTTTAAAAGTGTGAGTTATTGTATTAAAAAGCTATACACCACTTTTCGTGGTATTTGAGCTTTTAGTTTGTGAGATATGAAGAAATTTTCCTGTAGGTATATATACTTAAGGATTTGAAGCTACTGCTAGGGTTTTAGCAATATCTCAAGATTTGTAATAAATTTATGGTTGAAATTTGTTGTAGAAGTTGTTTAAAATATATTAATACTTCAAGTAAATTTTGAGGCTGTTTGGATGGTCTAATTGAATCATATGAGTCGTTGAAGTTTGAAAAAAATTCACCTCAAGGATATATAAGGGTTTCAAATATTTTTATCATATTTTGGATGTTGTTTGGTACTTAGGACTTATGTATTTATGTAATTGCCTTTAAAGTGATAATATTATATATAAAATTGATGCTTTTATATTTTGAGACTTGATTGAGTAATTAGTAGAACCCAAAAGTCCATCGCTTTTTTGAGGCAAATTCTCTCTATTCCAGTAGCGGACCATTGAATTTATTATATTAGAGACCTATAGTTTGGATATGATGGATTTCAATTTGCAGCAAAAAATGAAGATTTGACCATTATAAAGATACCTTCAAGATTGGTTCAAATATACATGCTACATTATGGTGCCACCAATTCTATGGCTCATATATAAAGTGCTATGAACTAGATTTTGAAGGAATTTGTGTTTGAGAAGACCATCCCTTTTGTAGATGATATTCCAATTAAGAGATACAAAGAAGAAGTCAAAGATGAAGCTAAGGACAATATTGGATGTAGGAATTTAATTAGGCATCATATTGGAGATATAAAAATGATCCTATAAAGATTAGAAGATATAAATATAGCCTTTTCTATTAACAAATCAAATTTGGAGTTAGAAGAATTATTGCAATAGAACATTTGTATGAAAATTTTACAATAAAATAAATATTACTATAAGAATGAAGCCTTACAAGAACATTATTAAGGTTTGGAGGTTTTTAGGAGCTTCTATTTTCTATCAAATCTTAATTCTTCATATTGTTCATAGTTCAAAAAAATTATATAAATTTCTAAGCTTCTAAAGTAATAGTTTACAAATTTAGTTTGATGTAGCAAGTGACAAGTTGGCATTGAAAAGTAATACGTGATCATCATCTTGGATTATTTGGTATTATTGGTTGTTATCCGCACATTGCTTTTGTTGATTTTGTGCAATAAAGAGGCAGTGCCATGCTTCTTATAAGGTCATTGAAAGCCATTGTATAAATTTCTCTATTATCAAATTATTGGTGTAGGTGGGATAATGGGGAGTTGTTAGCATAATTGGATGGTGACCAGTATTAAAGAGAAATGGTGAATGACTAGTACTTGCTTCAATACTATCATTGTAAGCAAACTCCAAAGATGTCAAGTATTCATCTTAGTCATTATGATGAACTACCACGAATGTCTGCAGCATATCTTTTAAGGTTCAATTTGCATACTTTATTTGTCTATTATTTTGGAGATAGAAGGCTGTAAACATGGCAAATTGTGTATCTATTAGCTTGAACAAGATTTGCCAAAAGCTTCTTATAAAGCATAGATCTCGATCAAGATATTGCTACAAAGTAATCTATGGCGATGAAAGACAATATTAAAGAAGATCCGTGCAAGTGCTGGATAATCATTATCTGAGCACACCGTGGTGAAGTGAAGTTCTTTCAAGAGTTGATCTACAAACACAGCAACCATGGTGTGATTATGAGAAGTCTGCGACAAACATGTATTAAGATCCATAGTCATTTATTCTTAATATGTCATAGGTAGTGGAATTAGCTGCAATAGTCTTAGAAACGATGTATTGTGTGCTTCATAATATTGACGTGATTGTCAAGACTATACAAAAGCTTGAACATTACAATCCAAACATGTCCAAAATCATATCCTTGATATCAGTTCTGGAGTCTTGTCTTGCTCTAAATGTCTAGATATTGGAATGTCATATTCTTTTTAAAGTATGCACATCTAAAGTATAGCATTGTCATATACATAAATTTTCTTCTTAAAATAAAGTAAGTCATTACTAAGATTTTAATCTTAATATTGTATATTGTCCACTTTTAGTTGATCACTAACCATCTTAAAATAAGCATCTGGATACATAGCTTCCTTCTATTCTATTTCTTTTGTTAGATTTGAAATGACACTATTAATGATAATGACTTCTGTATTGTCTCTTGATTCAACCTTCAAGTCTTGGTTCCACGATAATCTGTCTAACGTAGTATGTTATCACCTTTACTTGTACTCAAGCTAGATATCCAAAAGCTGCAATTGTTCTTTTCAATAATAATGTCATCATTTTATATTTTTCAGATGCAAATCATGTAGCAAAGGTTGATGGTCAGTCCAAATAACCATTGGCTTCTCCAACAGATAGTATTGCTACACCTTTGTAGCATGTACAATCACTAATTGCTCTCAATCACTCATAAAGTAATTGCAATTTGCCCTTCTAAACTTACATGATTTATACATCTCAAATTGAAGGTTCCTAACAAAGTCTTGTTAAAGAACTACTCGAATAACAAAGTCAAAAGCATCAATGTCAAGTGTACAAGGAAGATTGGGAACATACAATTGTAATATTGGAAGAGTAATGAGTGCCTCCTTCAACCTATCAAAGGTACTTTTTTGCTCCAATTTCCATTCAAATGGGGCATTCTTCTCTAATAGGTTTATCAATGAAGTAGCAATATGTGCAAATTGCCAAACAAAATGGTAATATTTTCCATTAAGGTCTAAAAGTGAGTTCACTTCAAAAGCATCTTTGAGGGTTGACTAATCCTCCATTGCTTTCACCTTATCTTACTCCATGAGTATGCCTTTGAAGGACACCACATGTTCTAAAAAGCTAACTTCCAACTTCCAAAGTTTATATTTT